TGATGCACTAAAAATGTCATAGTAGAAGGTGAAGGGCTAAAACCTTTAAATCTAGTAAGGTGAGGGGCTAAATATGTCATAACATAAAGTGAAGAGTTAAAACTTTCAAATTTGACAAGATGAGGGGCTAAAATAGGCTTTTGCCTAATTTTACTCGTAGATGAAGAAGGAACTAAATTAGTAATAAGTTTAATTAGGTGGACCCCTCGCTTGCAACAGAAGAATAGCCAGTATACTACATGGGGAATGAGCAGTTGAGACAGAAGTACAGAAAAAGGTGGGAAGTTGAGACAGAACGGTAGGTCCAAACATATGGTGCTGAAGTTCATGCATGTGTTTTTCTTTCATTATTGAAAGAAGGTTTGGTATCTACATATGTTGACAATGATTCCAACGGCTCTCATTTTCTCTTCTCCAATATTTTTCTCATGCGTTTTTTTGGTGTCCCTCAAATCGTTGAATTCTTTTAATTTGGCCCTGTCCTCTCTCGCCCTTTCACCAAACTCCTTCTCATGGCATCTTTGTTTCTGATGAGCTTCTGCAAACTGAGCTTCATCTTCCCCAGGTTCGTATCTATGACCATGAATCTTTCCTCTCTTTAATTTGTTCTTCGCTCTTATATATATAGTTTCATGAATTCAAAATCAAAGATATATATCTATTCATGGTAATTTGTCTGAATTCCAAACCATTTAGTATATATTTGTTATTCTATAGCTCTGTATAATATGATAAGGATTGAAATTAATAATCATACTATACAATGAAGATTTCATTATTCTTTCCATTTCCTCTAGTTAATCTTTGGAATATTTTGTACATGATATAAAGGTATCCTGTCTTAATTAGAATTAATTTCTTTTATGACACTTAATTAGGATGTTTTCGGCCCTGTTTGGTTGGGTAGGTAAAGAATTACTAATCCCTAACAGTAATTAATATTTAATAGTTGATTGTTATTATTATTTACTCATTTTATTTTGAATTTACTCGTTACATTTTTTTTACTTGACACAATTATGAAAGAAGTTATAAAAATTCATAAAAAGAAATTATTATAGGTTAAAATTTCGAAATTTTATTACTCTTCTTTGACTTTTAATGGATGACTCAATTAATAAAGGAAGTTGGCTAGTGTACTCCGGTGATCTTATATAGAGGTAAGACCGTAAAATTAAAAAGGAAAATTTTAATGCTTTGTTTGAAGGAATTTTTTAAATTGTGATTTATAGATTAAAGGTGTATTAATTATATTTTTTAATAATTTTTTAAAAAATATATAAAAATATATATTATTTTTAACATTAATACCATGCGGCTAATTTTAATTGGGTAGTTAAAAATTTTAAAATTAATTTTTATTTTTTATATAAATTTATTTTAAAAAAATATAATGAATACACTCAGTACAACTTTAAAAAATCCCAGTTTAAAATGATATATTTCAATTGATGAGTTTTTTTTTTTTTTTTTTTTAACAATGAGAGTAGAATTTAAACTACCTTTGAATTATAGCATAAAAAGTCTTTTTAGAAGAATGAAATAACTACTAAATCATAAAAATATTCTCAAATCGATGAATTAATTAAAATACTCGTTTTTAGAATGTGTATGACAAGGTAAATGAAAGAAACAAAGTATATAAGTCAACAAAAATATCTTTTTCACTCTAAACTTATAATTTAAATTATAAGAGTATTTAAATACTCTTAATATGACTACCATTCAACACATATTTTAATATTTTAATAACTTGAGTTGCACTTTATTACAATTTAAACTAAAAAAATCATTTTAATAATTCAAAATTTATTCATTTAATTGAAGAAAACAACTATTTATTGTTACCTAGACTAATCATGATGAAGGATTTGAATTTTTGGCTTGGCTTTTTACCTGGGTCAAAAATGTACCTAACACGTAGAGAATGAAGGGTAGTTAAGGGATTTTCTTGTCCTTACCACATAGTCCAATAGCCTAAAACCACTATACGCATGGCACCCAAATCATGGGTGGTTGGGTGGCTAAGGCACGCACACCAATACATCAATAGCAAGTAATATGCATACGCATGCCACCTACTACTTGCATGAATATCATCCTTACCTTCCTTCCGTTTATCTGTCGTTCATACCAGCAAACTCAAAGCTAATAATTAAAAAAATACAGAGAATGATTCAACAAATTTTAATTCTCTATATATGAAAATAATTGTGTGCTTCTCTTTTTACTAAAGAATTTTAACATGAATCAGTCTACATCCATTCATTTAAAATTATGTAATTATTGTAAAATTTTATTATAAAAAAAAGGATTCAAATACAAAACATATAAGCTTGTATGAAACAAAACTGTACATGTGTTGGGATCGCTGAGGAAGTTAATATCTATTTTAAGAAATTGATAATTTTTTAAGAAAAATCAGAAAAGTCATATATGTTACGAGCAATCTGTTTGAGACTTTGAGCGGAGAAATGCTGAAAACAACTGCTATGAACAGTACTGTGATTATAACACTATAGAAGTTAAAACTCTATTTAATGTGCTTGCAGTTTCTGATTTTTAATTTGAAGTTTTATAAATTTTTTAATAGCATGTTTGAATTAAAGAGAAAAGAGAAGAGGAGAGAAAATTCTTTTATTTGATTATCAAAAAAATTGGATGAGAGGGGAAGGGATCAAGGAAGCCCTCTGCTTTATTTTTTCGTTTAAATAATTTTTTGATCAACCAAAAGAATTTTATTATTTTGAAATATAGAGGTACTCTTGCCAATATACTTATACAAAATTTTGTCATTTCCTACTACATTTAGATTTAGTCTGATAGCATTGTTTATAATACTTTTTATAGATATTTATAGAATTTTTTGTAACTTATACATTTAGTAAATTATCCATCCCTATTTTTTAAAAGAGGAATACAAAAGTCATCTTATCCAAAATTAATAAAATTCCTAAATAATTTAATAAAATTTTAAAATTTTTTTTGTACATTATATATTAAATTATTAATTAATTTAATTTTAAATATTAATATATCTAATTGGGTAATTTTATAATAAGTAATTTTTTAAAAATATAATTTCTAAATACTAATATGCTTTTTGTAACAATAAAACACAACACGTCTAAGAGCTACAATTACAAGGCAACATCAAACAGCATTGTCAAACGAAAACTTAGTTTGTTAAACCATCAATTGCTTTCTCAAATTGCAGCCTCAAATTGCAGCTGTACATTCATTAGGCCTATTTCTTTTAAAATAATTTTAAATAACTTGTTTATCCAAATAAGGGCAAGGAAGGGGTAACCCAAATATATTGTAACTCTAAAAAAAAAGTTTGTTTGTTTTCAATTGTGATTTAACATTTATTATGATTATTTGATAAAAATAAGAATAAAAGTAGTTTGATCAATACTATTAAATAAATTTATACTTTAGCTGTTAGTGTTATTGTGGGATTACTTTTGATTCATGTTAACTTTATATGTTTGTTAATTGGTCCCCTCAGGAAACTGAAATAAGAATCATAAATATGAAATTTTAACACAAATAATCGCTAGCATGTATTAAATGTATTTTCTTTGTTGTTGTGACAGCTTAAACCCTAAAACACTAAAAAAAATGGAATAATTAATCACCAAAATATTCTCCCTTTTCTTACAATAGAAGTAATTAATTTCATAGTAGATTTTCCACCCTTTCAAACTTTCAACTCATGATAACTAGTTGCACATAAGAATCAATTCATGCATGCATGCATACATGCATGAAACACTAAAAAAAATTGAATAATTAATCATTAAGGTCTTCTCCCTTTTTTTCAACAGAAATAATTAATTTCATAGTAGATTTTTTCCTCCCTTTCAAACTCTGAACTCGTAACTAGTTACACATAAGAACCAATTCATGCAGGCATGCATTATAAATATTGCTTGCATTTGGCGAAGCATATAATAAATAAAAAGTTTTTAGCTTCTTCAATCGAGTCTAAATCCCCATTTTGTGTATCACACCACCATAACACTGATTTGTATTCACGGGATTTAAAAAAAAAAAAAAAAAAAAGCAGAAAAAGGGAGCATAGGGGTTGTTATGAGAGTAGTATATACAAAGTGATGCATATGTTGTTGAGATGTTATTTACTTGTAGTATGTAAGAGGTAACAATATTCCTTGTATTTTAATTAATAAAATTATATTGCTGATCATAAAAAAAAATAATAATAAAGTGATGCATAAAAATGTTGAGGATTTTACTAATGCACCCCCTCTTCAATCATGTATGAGAGATTCTTCAAACTTATATGATACTAAGCAATTAATACTCCAATATACCAAAAAAATCATGCATGAGATTCTAATAAAGTGCAATCAAAGAATAAGGAAATTAATTAATAACCTGATCAAAAACATTAAATATATAATATAAAGTATCTAAAAAAAGATAAATGATTATAGAAAATTCTTTTTCAAAACCTAAAACTTGCTAATTATATATAGAGTGAAAATCATGACTGAGATCCATAGAAGAAAAGGCAATATTGAAAAAGAAGGTTACTATCTTAAACATGTTTACATCCTTACATATATAGTTTACAAATTAACAAAAATTCCACTTCAGTCACACTACATATATACGATGTGCAATTATATATTATACAAAACACAATGAAAATAAAAGACGAAGTCTACTAGTTATAGAACAGCAACATATATACATATATTATATTCTAAAAGAAAATGCGTACGGAAAAAGGTGTTTACATCTAGACTACAATACAACATATAAACCATCAGATGAGGGGGTCCCCTAAGTACAGTGACGGCCCCATTTCATGCAAAACACTGATGACCTCAAGAAAATGTTATGCATACTATGCATGGATATTTGAGTACGTACTTCTCCTTTAAATGATCAACCACATTTATTTGTATGAAATGCAGCATGCGTCGATGCTTTGTGTGCATGGTTGTATGACATTTCATTTAGAAATATATAAAATAAAAACGACTTTCTTTGATTCAATTTTCTAAAACAAAGTACACAAAAATTAAGCTCATGAGACTATAAATACACCATGTATATAGCAATACTGCAAACACTTGCTGGTAGTACTAATCATTTGAAACAATGATACAACATAAGCTTTTAGGAGCTTTTCTAAAATCATTACACTAGCCGACAACAATCACACACAAAAAAATTAATAATGTTACACAATACTTGCATAAATGATCATAACCAAACCTAATAATATTTCCTTTATATATAGGAGATCTAAGATTAATTACTAGAGCATCCAGCTAGCTTCGTGAAGGGTGAATATTGTTCAAAGAATTTTGCCCGTTTCCAAATGCTGCCATTGAAGACACTACTTCAGCTTCCCAAATGTTCTCGTGATTGAATGTCTGCTGCTGTGTAGAAACAACAATATTAGCCTGCTGCTGATGCTGATTTGCAAAGACATTGTCATTAATCAATGAATCTAGAAAGGAAGAGAAAATATCCTCATTGCAATTCTCCATATAATCTCCTCCATTTCCATGGAGGTGGCTGGAATTCGGTTGCTCCCCCATGAAACCTTCAGAATCCCTCCAATTTCCTGATGCTTTATCAACAAGTACCTCTTTGGTTGTTGTGAATTTCTCTTGTGGGTTTTTAGAGGTGATCATAGCTGCAGTTTCTTCTGGCTCAAAAGAATCAGAGTTGGGATTACGGTTTGATGTTGGGGGAGGATTACTTTGGGAAAGTTCTGAAGAACTAGGGTTTGTCAGGTTCAAAGGCTTATGGGTTCTTGGATCAATTCCTTGGCTAATAAGCTTCTTACTAAGATGGGTGTTCCAGTAGTTCTTGATCTCATTATCCGTCCGTCCCGGAATCCTACCAGCTATCAAAGACCACCTGAAAATCAAAGAGCAGAATAAACCCTAGAATCGAAATGAACTCCGGACTGAAATCCGATTCAATCATAAACTCAAGTTGTTTTTTTCCTAAGATATTGATGAAATTGATACATGCAGGTACAGATGTTGAGTTCGTGCACCTGTTTCCGAGCAAGCGGTGGAGGCGGAGGATGAGATCTTCTTCATCAGGAGCAATACGACCCCTCTTAACAGAAGGCCGGAGATAATTCATCCACCGGAGACGACAACTCTTACCGCACCTTAGCAGCCCCGCACGCTTCGGCAACGTGCGCCAGCGGCCCTCGCCTGCCCGGTTGATGTAGTTGGCGAGGAGCTCGTCTTCCTCCGGTGTCCACGGTCCTCTCTTTATGCCCACCTTGCTGCAACAGGGCGTCTTGGTCGCTGACGCCGAAGATGGATTCCTCATGATTAAAAATCTCTTCTCTGACTTTCTTGATGGTTCTTTGGATTGGTTTATGCTCTCTGGATGTTCTTTGTTGGGTTTTGTGAGGATCTTAAAAGGAAAGAAATTAGGGTTTGGTGGAGATGGAGATGATGAAATGAGAAGAAGCTAAAAGGAGACAAAAAGTTATTTGAATGTGGATAGAAGGTATGAGTAGGAGACTTTGTATTTTCTATGGGGTGAATTATTTTTTATTATGTTTGGAATTTTTTAAATGCCGAAATAATTTGATTTTACTAAATGAATTTAATTTGGATATGATCTATTTGACCCTAGAAAATATTTAATTATGAGCAATTTCACCATTCATCTAACATCTGGCCTACCAGGGGAGTTAACAAATTGGAAGGAGACGCATTTACTGTATGCTTTGACAGCATGTGAAAATCAAAAGATATTCATTAAATTTTCAAGTTTTCGCATATTTAAGTTACTTTTTTTTACATTTTTTTTACATTAATTAGTCTACATTTTGATTTAATACATTGTATAACAACATACTCATTAAAAATTTATTATTTTTTAATTTAAAATTAAAGACAGATAAATTTAAAAATACAATTATACATATAAATATAAAAAGCAACTAAATTAACTATATTTTTATTGTATTTTAATAGATGAATTAGAATGAATGTAAAAAAAAATATTGAAATAAGTGTATATCAATTATTTTCCTTTTTTATGTGAAACTTTTTTCACATAGTACACTTTTAAATCCAATCCGATAAAGGAGCTAACACAACATTTAAATCATGTCACATATACGCATTGACATCATTTTAAAACTAAAACACAAGTTTATTAAATTTTAGGGTTTCCACATATTTAGGTTTTATTTAGTTTAGATATTTTAAATGGTCTATAGCTAATAGATAATATTTAATAGTTGACAGTGTTTAAATTATAAAAAATAACAAAATCAGTAATTGAATATTTATTATTAATTATAAACTATTCCAAACAACTAAACAAAAAAGCACCTTAAATTGTTTCCATGAGACATAAATAGGTGGTTTTTTGCCCCAAAATGGATTGATGAAATGAATCTAAATTGTACTCCAAATTTTAAAAAATATAAAAGGGAAATAGACCATAAAAGTAGTAGAGTTGTTTAAATTTTCCTTCATTATCGACTGCTATTTCAATCTTTTTTTATTTACATTAATAGTGTTTTCAAACATATTTTTGTACACTTTAATATTACTTTCACCTCAAATAATTTTAAGAACACACTCTTACATCATTTAGTATATTTAAAAAAATTATTTTTTTAAGTATTTATCTTAAAATTTAATTTTTAAATTTAATTTATAAAATAATACATATTTATTAATAGATCTAACCTTTTAGTTTCTCTTTAAATTTTCATGTTCTAGGGGTACATGGCTTAGTAAATTATTCACATGTTCATTTGCTTATATTTGTTTGTGATTGCAATTGCATGGGCTGCTGTCATGATGACTTGGTGCTTTGCCAACCCCTCAGCCTCCAAAAATATTAGGATAATACTGTACTTTTTGACTTATGTCAACACATAGAGCCAAGTGTAGGGTCAGGATTGCTTTTATGTACTCTAGATGTCAGTGGTGGACCCAGATCGGACAGTTCTGGAACCAGTTAGGACTTACCGAGTTGCTTAAGCGTTAAGAATTTCTTTTTGTTTTTCCTTTTATAATTGTTTGGAAAAAAATATAAATTTAAATTTTGGTGAATGAAATACACTGCGTATAAGTTATAACCGTATGAATCCAACTGGATAACGCTAGTTTCGCCTTATCCACCTTTTTAGTTGTGGGCCCACACATCTTCTTTAAAATAGAAATCTGTGCCTTTTGAGCTGGGATAACGACATGTCAATTCTGAGACAGAGACCCGCAACCAAACATGATTCTTACTGCCACATCTCAGTTAGAAAAATTGTCGTGCATCTGATACATACTGAACTGGATAACCGTTATAATTAGATAAAAAGTAAATTTTTTTAACGTTGGAAATCACTTCCTAATTCAATCATTACATATTACAATTTAATATTATATAAATTAGGTTAAATACCCTTTTTGGTCCCTCTACTATAGGAAAAAGTCCCTTTTTAATCCCTATACCGAAAAATTCCCCTTTTTGATACTTACTGTTCACAAATCCGGCCCCTTTTTAGTCCCTTCGTTAAATTTTGGCTTACGTGGCATGTTAATTAACGGAAAACAGCTGACGTGGTATACCAACGCATAAAATATGTTTATGTGGACTCCACGTCACCCTCCACGTCACCCTCCACGTCACCCCACTTCCTTCGGGTTTTTTTTTTTTTTTCGTCCTTTTTCCCTTTTACCTTCAGGCGAACCCAGCTCGCGGGTTTGTGATGAACCCAGGCGCCTGGGTTCATCGCGAACCCAGGATGAACCCAGCTTGCGCAACTGGGTTCGCAATGAACTCAGCTCATGTGATTGGGTTGGCAATGAACCCAGCTCGCACCTGGGTTCGCGACATACCTAGACGCAAGCTGGGTTCTCAATCTCTGCCAAGTCGCGAACCCAGGCGCGAGCTGGGTTCTCAATCCCTGCCAAAAAAAGGAAAGCATGTTTTTCTCAAACAAACAGCTCTAGACATCCAACAACAGAAAACACAAGAGCAGCAAAAATTTCAGGAAATTGAAAATTGAGGATTTGAAATTCCAACACTCAATGTCAAAACCTATTTAACTTCCTTCTTGGAAGAACCTGTTAAAAACAGTTAATTAACCCAAGTCTTGGTGCTCAATTGATCACAGAATCATTTAACCAAATCAATCCAAT